AGACAGAATCAGAGGAGAGAGAGAATCAGAACTGAAAAAGAAAAATACACACACTGTGAGGAGTTTTGAAAGAGAGAGCTGATAGAGATAAACAGAAAAAGCATATAGAGATAGAGAGAGACACTGAGAGGGCATATCTGAGAGTTTCAATTTCTGAAAACAGGAACTGGAAGGGATTTCTTTTAGTAACTTCAGTAAAATTTCAAAACTGAAGATTGGTCTTAGAACTTGAAAAGAAAGGAGATAGGGAAAGGGATATCACAAAATCAGGAATTGTCTTTCTTCTTACTGTTTGTTCGATTCACATTTTGTTCAAACTGTCCAAGTTAGTCCTGTTTTCCTTCAAGTGTCAGTTAAGTCTATTGTTTGGATTTGTGTTGTTGGCTTCTCCTGGAATTGGATTGCTTGATTTTCTTACTCCGTTACTACTGGGAATCTGTCTCATTCTGCCTCTCCTCCATTGGCTTTACTGGCCTCTTGCACTGGGATTTCTGTTCTATTTGGTACCTGCTGTTATTGCTGCTGTTTGGTATCGCTTCTATCGCCCTACTGACCCCTTGCTTCTTCTGTTGTATCCAACATCCAGGTACATACTAAGATTCGCATTTGATGTAACAATGAAAGCATGAATCAAAAGAGTTGAAGGAGTTATAATCACCTGTTGTATTGCTTATGAAATTTTTATGTTGTTAAGATATGCAGTTTCTTGGTCTGTTAGCCTAATAGAGACACATTAGTAAGGTTGTACTTAATTAAAGTTTATGCCAATCTGAAACTGTGACATTTTATTCGTTTAGTAGTACATAAGATGTAAATACAATTCATGAAATGTGCAGCCATTTTAATACAATTGCTAACTCAAACTCGCTCTTTCAGCATGCTTCGAATATGTAAGGGCAAATGGCTGTCTTAAATCTAGCTAAAGCTAATATAATTTCAGATTCTTGAGTTTCAGTTTCGTTAGGCAGTTTTATAGGATGCGTTTCTAATATCCTTAGTCGCATTTTCTAATAAGGGGTTTTAATTAATCTTANGGGTACTGGGATATTCTGAAAACAGGCTGTTAAAAGAGATAGTGTTGAGGCCTATAAAAGGAGGATATACAGAATTAGGAGACAGAATGAGAGGATAGAGAGAATCAGAACTGGAAAAGAAAAATACACACACTGTGA